TTGTGGGATTGTCTGATTTTTTTTTTTTTTTTTGTTGCTTGACACCAGGGACTTGATGAATGACTGTGGGCTATAGAATATCTGATTTGAGCTTAGGGGTGGAAGAATAGTGGATCAAACAGAGAGATGCAGTCTTATTAAAAAAACCCCATATGTTTAGAAAGATAATTTTAACTTAGGTTATTAGAGCTGAACATAGGCATTTAAAAACTTGACCATTTTTTGTATTTTTGTTTATCACAAATCCATCTAGTAGAGAAGACTGTCTTGCAGTTGTCAGCTGTGGTCTGTCTGTCCATTTGTTTTTCCCTTTCTCACCACTAGTTTATGTGTCTTATGTTTTCTGGCTTCTGTGCAGATGAATGTTTTGGTATTTAGGTTGCAAACATTGGATGGAAATGTTTTAACTCTAAACAAATCCAAAAATCCCCAGTGTTAGGACACTATACGCTCTTTAAAATCTAACTTTGGAATTACGCTACTTGTCTTGCACATTGGAATTATTGACATATTGTCAAGACAGAGCTAATGTTTTGAGTTCCTTTGTATGTAATCTAAATATTTTTTATTACCCACAAAATAGGGAAAATGAAACCTGAAAAACAAAGTAAGATGGCTATACAGATTTCCATAAATCAGTTTAAAACTATTTGCTTATATAAAAAATCAGTTACATTTCAGTAGAACTCTTGAAGTGTATTTGAGCTGAATGTCATTCTATTCTAATCTTGTACATCAGTGTTAAGTTTTTACACTATAACTATAGATACCTACCCTTCAAATTAAAAAGTGCAACATAAAATAGTTGCTGTTAAGTAGATGAAGACTAGTAAGTGTATTAACAGCTGGAATAAGTAGATGGGGCAAATCTTTTATTGTGGTATTCTTAACGTAGGAAGGTGCTCAGAGCACTGGATGGTGCATAGAGTTGTATTTTAAATTTTGAGTAAGAACATACACAATTAATTAGACATGTCATTTGGCATTGAGTAGATTTGTTGTGTCCCACTGAAGCTAAGTGACCCTTTTTTGGATTATCATTATCCAAAAAAAGTATGCAATTTTTTTTGCTCTATAAAGCCATCTTGCAATTATTTTTCCAGGCTTTCATTTCCACTGTTGTGGCTAACAAGTGTATGGATCATGAAGAACTCATTGGCAGATATAATCTGGGGCAGAGACAATTGTTTACAATATTACAACTGTCAATTATTCAATTGAAAAATACTTTTTAAGTATCTATGTAACTTGGTTTATGTTTCATGAGTGAACTTTTAAATCAATATATAAATAGATTCCATTCATCTTAGCAGTCTGCTTAGCAGTTAAATGGTCTCCAGCTCTCTTCACTGGCTATTAACAGAGGTTGGTTTTTTTCAATCTCTTTCATGCTGAGACAGTGAAATTGAATGACCTCGCTATGGTTGGTTGTCTGTATTTCATTAATCCCATGGTATCCTTCACTGTGGGCATATTATAGTCATATTTTACCTGATTTTGCACTTACACCTGTGATGATAATTCCATTGAACTCAATGAAACTATTCACTTGATTGATTATTCATGTGTTTTAGTATCTATGGAACCTAGAAATTTGCTGCTTGTGTGTGCATGTGTGTTGCATGTAATCAAATCTTCTGAGTTCTAAATGCTGAATTCTTCTTTGTAATTCCATTAAAATTAAAAAGCAATTTTTGATGCAAGTATTGTTGACAATCTTGCAAATCAGGTTTCTGAGCTCTTCTCTTTCAGTAAAAACCTTCTGACATTGAGGGCAGTTTGTGATACATCCCACTGAATAATTTTTGTTTCCAGGAAACTTTTGATCTGCTTAACGCATAACACCAGCAGATTGTCTCTGTGCCTGAAGAAGGGTGTTTGTGCTCGAAAGTTTGCAAAGAACAATTTTTCCAACTGTTTAGTTGGTCTAA